CATGCGATAAACTATGCCATTCATAGACTACGGAATCATTTGATATAGAAGAAGATTCAACTAGATTATAGACGATTGGTCACAAAGGAGTTGCAAAATGAAGCAAAGTAACCTTGCTGATACAAGCTATTGAATCTCTTTTTTCATGTTTATATGCTATGTAGTACCAGATGAAGAAAATGATTCCTTTCATTTCAACCTTTATACAACTCGTTAAACAAAAAATACACCAATTTGCTTTGGAAGAAAATGGATGATGAAAGATATAAAGTGAAAAAAGAAAGAAATGGCTTTCTAGCTTAATAGACTACAGAGATAGTATTATGAGCCAAAAGTCTTGACTTTGATTCTCATTAGAAACATCAACGATATTCTGGTCGTCATTAGTAGAAAAAATATTCCCTACTATTACCTCATACTGGTAACAGTAGAACGTTTATAGTGCTTTGTTTTGTTTACCCATTCTACTGATATGCATGACCTGTATTTGAACACCATAAAGTAAGAAATAGGCTGTTGAAACAAAATGGTTAGTGTAAGTTTATTTCATGACATCCCTATAATTTTACAAATTGCCCAATGCTTCAAAGACCTGAATACTTTAGGCAATCTTTGTCTTTTTCACACTCTCCTTATTCTTCTTCTTGCTATTCTTTTTTTTTATCAAAAATGAATATCATACAATTCTCACTGATAGAAGACAGTCAAATTTCTTTTCAAAAGTTACATTGTAGAATAAAGCAAGAAATATACAATTTTACTTGCAGAATCATTATTTGCATTTCTGTAAATATTTAGGGTTTATATAGTTGTAACTTTCTTTACTAGTTTGGAAAGTGTAGACAGCAACATATAGGACGAACAATATTAAGCTTATGATTCAACTCGATCTTGATACTAGTATTCCATGAAGAAGGATATCACTCCTTTTCATACTCGACGAATGGTTTCGAATTCGACCTAATCAATCAATCTTTGTCGATCAACAGCTTGACCGCAAAGAAGTTGCTTGTATTTATTTCCATTGCAAAAATCATTGAGGTCTTGGTACAAACTGGCAGAAATGATTATAAAAGCAGAATTTACTATCTGATTTGCACATTTGAAGACAACAATAACAGCAACTCTTACAAGAGATAGGACAACACTTCTCACTACAGCATTGTTCTTGAAGAGTCATAAACATAGTATTTTATTCATAGTTCGTCCTTTATTTAGAATTATGGTTGGTGTTTTACGACCACTCTCTTTCTGTATTTTAAAAACTCAATATGTCCGTCAATTGTGGAACTGATATATTTTTCCATCTAATCAACAAGACCAGAGACAATAGGGATATGAGCTAGTGTCCAGGAATCAATTTGAATTCAACTGACTTTAAGATCATAGTTTCGGCTATGTTGAACCGAGTTTAAACTGTATTGAGTGGAGAAATAAGCGACTGTGCAAAGCAGGGCAATCAACTATGAAACTAGTGAATAGACCAAGTCCTTTGCTTGATAGAATCAGATCGAAGTTGTTGATAAAGAATAGTCAATTGTTTCTTAAGCGTCTTTCATTCTATTGTTCACGGAGCCTTACCCAAAGAATTGCACGAGTTGGTCATAAATAGAACACCTTTGGTTTTTGTCATATCCTTTATGCCTAGTGACAAGGTCAATTTTAAGTTGTAGAGAGAGGGACTTTAATGTACCTTGGCTACTTTTCTATTGAACTTGGTGTCAAATAGAATGACTTGACCTTGTTCATATGAATTCATATTCTGGTTTTGAATACTATATTTGAAGAGTACCTATTATATGCTATTCGAAATTTTCCTTAACTTTTTTTTTCACTGTTTATCATACAGATTATCATACAACTCAGTTTCATAAAAGCCTTGGTATCGGCGAAACTATCAAGTTTTATGGCTATGACTTTTATAGTTTTGATAGAACCCAGTTGTCACCAATCTGTTCCATCAAAGATTGATTTCATAGTGAGACATGCATAATGTCGCGGTTAACTACAGAACCATATACATATGAGGCAATTCAGCTCAATTGAAAGGAACTGTATGCTTGACAACTTTAGAGATCATTCCTATTTTAAATAGAAGAACGCAAACATTGCAAACATTCGGTTTTATGTTGTTTAAAAGATTTGAATCCACCTGACAACTTGAGATGATTGACGAAGAAGTACTTTGATCCTAACCTTTGATTGTTAGTACTTCAAGTCATGCTGAGATACATGGTTATGTCCGTTTATTTTTTTTGGTGAAAAAAGTTGTCTCTTATCTTTGTTATATTAAGCTATTACAAATTCAAGTTGATCACCTGGTACAGCTTTTACTAGGTCATGTTGCCTTTCACAACAGACTCTTTGTTATCTCTATGGATGAAGAATTGAGTTTGACTTGTGTTGATTCATTGAATGAATGATTGATTGCTTTGTGTCATACTAGCATATTTACTTATCAATTGACAAATAATCGCACTTGAATTTGTAAAATTGACTGATTCCAGTATTTGAGGAATAGTAGCAGGACAACTCTATTCAAAAGGGTGATTTAAGAATTCACTTTAGACAGATTGTTGATCCGCGAGTCAAAGACAAGTTGTAACCATTGTAAAAGATTTATACAAGGTACGTGATATAGATAGGAGGTAGTTTCATTTTGCATTCTCAAGATGAATATTTATTGGATAGTGCTACTAGAATGAAATGGGTTGTTTGAACCACACTGGGTTGTCCGTCTATTATGAGTCCTGTAGCTCATCAAGATCTTTTATCGTGACACTATAAAACTCTCTGTCCAATAAAAAGAGTCGTTATACCCTAGACTTTGGTTCATATAGTATTTATATATCCTCGATAGTCTATTTAATACCGATTGCTTCACGATTGTATGGATTTATTGGAAGAACTTACCCAAGTAGACTTGGCGGACGAAATACCAACGAGTACTAGTATTCTTTCATCTAAATACACAGAGGACAATCTAGTTGATAGTTTGCTTGACAAGAATCATAATGGAAGAAAATCCCCACATTCTTTCCTGGTAGTTGTAAATTACTTCCAAATTCTAAACAGATCGTTGACCTTAACTCGTTTGAATCCATTGTTTCTACAGTTGACCTAATGTTGAATCATATTGTTATACTGTAAAAAGAAGATTTCGATGTTTCCATTGGGTCTGATTCTGCATAATATGTTGAGCACCAATATACACACTTTTTACTGATTTTTTCTGCTAATGGGAAAGGTGGGCAATTTGAAAAGAGTGGCCGATTGGGAATGGGCCCGCGCAATTTTGATTTGAAAATTGGCATTATGGGCGTGGGGTGGGAAAGAATGGGTAAATTGGAGATGGGAGAGAGTGGGGAAATTGCGATGGGGGAAAATGGGTGGGGAAAGGGGCCAATTTGGGCCAACCACAAAGGTGATCGTGATTTGAAATTGCCATTTTGGGTGGGGGGAAGAATGGGCCAATTGGAAATGGGAAAGAGTGGGGAAATTGCGATGGGGGAAAATGGGTGGGGAAAGGGGGTGAGGAAATTGGAGAAGAGGGGCCAACCCAAAGGCGATTGTGTTGATTTGGAAATTGCCATTATGGATGCGGGGAAGAATGGGT